CTACTTCTCTCAGTCTTAATTTGAACTGTGATGCAAGATGATGTTTAGTTTAGGATTCTGATGTTTGAAGCATATTATCTTCCATGCTACTTTGAGTTTAGGAATAAAAAGCATTTAACTACATTACTAAGATGTATGGTGAAATTTTAGTTTTGAATTCATAACAAAGATATACATAAGACTTAGCTTGTGAGCTGCTCTTTCCTCACTCTGTTCATGATACAACTTGCCTTCTTCTGGAGCCTAGGCATGGGGGAGAGGCTTCCCTTTTTTAAGACAGCTACTGCCGGTTAGGTGGCATATGAGGCAAATCTTCCTCATTTTTTAAATTTTTCCCTTATCCCTATTCCTGTTACAGACCACCTTTCTATAATCTTTAGGTTTCGGAGACTACACCAACTCAGGCACATCTCACCCACAAAGAGACATTTATGGAAAGAGACAAAGATCTGAAATACGGTGGGTTTATGAATAAATGTAGTCCTATTGACAAGAGCTGTATTTTAAAAGAATAGCCCTTTCTCTTGAAAGTCAGTGGGGAAACATAAGACACATTCTTTCAAAGAGATGAAGTTAGAGAGTGGTGGAGGTCAACAACTCAGAGGAGGAGAGATTGGATTGGAAGTGGCAACCAACATCCCACACTAAAATGGAGAACAGAGCAAGCAATGAAAAGACGTGGCCAAACTGCTTTTCTCATCAACAAAGCCCTGTGTTTCCTTGTTATCTCAAAGGTATCACAAGGCTACACATTGTTGATGAATGACATATGCTATAATAAAGGTCCATTAGCCTCAGGCTGACTATTCTATAACTAACGAGCCAATTAACTTTCTGTGGGAAGTGTGATTAGTATTTTGGTACATTTCTGTGTGATCCAACTGATCCAACTAGAGTATTTTTTCAGATGTATGTTTTTGAGAAAGTTGTTTGTAATTTTAGAAGTGAGTTATCATTATCTATGATTTGCAAAATATATACTCCCCCTAAAATAACTGAGCATAAATTTGTGAAAAGATGAGTTGTTTCTCCTTCACATTCTATGAGAAATTTTAGTAACAACAGTATACTTCATTAGTAGGACAAAATACTGTATGATGTTTTTAATGGAGCCTTTAAGCCAGAGAGCACTGATGGCAGAGTAGATGATTTTCCACAAGGAAAGGAACCTACTTGAGAGAATCTGTTATATTCCTACATACAAGTAGTGAAAATTGGAATCCAAAGTTTTAGCAAGAGGCAGTACTGTGTACAATAGCTCCAAAAAAGTTAAATACTTAAGTGTAATCTAAACAAAGCAGATACAGAATCTATATGTTGAAAACAAAAAGCTGGCCGGGCTCGGTGGCTCAGCCTATAATCCCAGCACTTTGGGAGGCTGGGCGAGTGGATTGCCTGAGGCCACGGGTTCAAGACCCACCTTGGCAATTTGGCGAGACCTCATCTTTACAATAAAAATAAAAAATTAGCCAGGCATGGTAGTGCACGCCTGTAGTTCCAGCTACTTGGAAGGCTGAAGCGAAAGGATTGCCGGAGCCCAGCAGGTCGAGGCTGCGGCCGCTGGGAGCATGCCACTGCACTCATCTGGGCAACAGAGTGAGACTCCAACTCAAAAAAAAAAAAAAAAAAGCTAATGAAAGAAATAAAAGAGACCCAGTAAATAAAAAGTCATACCATGATTGAAAAAGGCAACATAGACCTGACACAGTGGCTCACATCTATAATCTCAGCACCTTGGGAGGCCGAGACAGGACTGCTTAAGCCCAAGAGTTTAAGACCAGCTAAGGCAACATAGCAAAACCTCATCTCTACAAAGAATCAAAACATTTGTCAGGTGTGGTGATGTGATGCCCACCTGTAGTCCCAGCTATACTCAGGAGGCTGAGGTAGAAGGATCACTTGTGTCCAGGGGGTCAAGGCTGAGACGAGCCATGATAATACCACTGCATCTAGCCTGGATGACAAAGTGAGACCCTGACTCAGAAAAAAAAAAAAAAGACAAACATAGAATGTCAGTTATCTCCCATGTCGTGTATAAATATAATGTAATAACAATCAAAACTCCACGAGTATATATATATTTTTTTAAGTTATGCAAGTGGATTCCTTTATATGGAAAGGCAGAGGATTTAGAATGGTTCAAATGATTTTGAAAGAACAGGTTTGGAGGAATCACTCTACCAATTAAAAAACTTACGATAAAGGTACAGTGATCGTGACAGTGTGGTTATTTGCATAAAATGGATATATAAATAAATGGAGAAGAATAGGGAGTTCAGAAATAGACCTATGTATATCTGGTCATTTGATCTTTGACAAAGATACAAAAGCAATTAGATGGAGAAAGGGCAGTTTTTTCAACAAACTGTGTTGAAATAGTTGGTCATCCTTCTCCTCCCTCATTCCCTCCCTAATCTCTCCTCTCCTTCTCTCCCTTTCTTTCTCTCTCCTTTTCTTCCTCTCTTCCTTTTCTTCTCCCTCTCCCTCCTCCTTTCCTTTCCCCCTCCCCCTCCATCACTCCTTCACAACTCCATACAAAGATAATTCAAAATGAATCATAGTTCTAAATGTAAAACAAAACATATAAAACATTTGGAAGAAAAATAGAAGAGAAACTTCATAATCTGGGGTTAAATGAAGACTTTGTAACATTATACTGAAATCATTTCATTAAAGAAAAAATTGGTAAATTGGGCATCATCAAAATTTAAAATTTTATTCTGCAAAGTTACTGCCAAGAGAATGAGAAGACGATCTACATACAGGAAGAAAATATGCACAAATCACATATCCAACAAATAATTTATACCCAGAATATATAAGAAACTCTCAAAATTTAACAATGGGGCTAAGGGCTTGAACAGACACTTCATCAAAGTATAAAAGGAAAGCAGATGAGGATTTAAAAAGATTTTCAGCATCATTAGACATTAGGGGAATTCAAATTAAAACCATAATGAAATAACCACATACCTATTAGAGAGGCTAAAATAAAAATACTGACAATACCAAGTGCTACCAAGGATGCAGAGCAACTGGAACTTTCATGCATTTGCTCATGGGAATGCAAAATAGCATTTTGAAAAGGTTTTGGCAGTTTCTTATAAACGTAAATGTACACTTGCCATATAATCCAACAATCCCACTTTTGGGTATTTACACTGGAGAAATGCACAATTATATCCATACAAAGACCTGTGCTCAAATGTTTATAGCATCTTTATTTGTGACAGTCAAATACTGGGAGCAGCCCAGAGATCCTACAATGAGTGGATGGATAAACAAACTGTGGTACATCCATATACTAATCAGCAGTAGGGAGGAACATGGGGTGTGCAACCACTCCAGATTAATTTGAATGATGTGCTGCATAAAGGAAGCAGTTTCAAAAGTCCCATACTGTATTATTCTATTGTTATGACTTTAAAAAGTCAAAACTGTAGTGGTGGAAAGCAGGTCAGTGGTTGTTAGGGGTTATGTGCCAGAGGCGGGTGTGTCTACAAAGAGATTGCATGAGAGCTTTTTTTGGGTGATTGTATCCTGATTGTTGTCGTAGTTGAATATTTGTATATTCAAATTAGAACTGTATGCTAAAAAAGTTAATTTGACTCTATAATCTTAAAAATTAAAATCTGTTTACATGAAATGAGTTGCTTTACGAGGTAGTAGGTACCACATTCCTGAAAATGTTCAAGAATTTTTGTCAAAAACTTCTTAGGATTGTATGTGGGAGATTGAACTAGGGGAATTCCACAGGTCTGCTATAGTTCTCAGCAGTGACAGCAGTGATTTCAAGGAAGATGCCAAAACATCAGTGACATCAAAAGTTTTCTGAGTTTATTCAGGTTGTTTACTAGGAAAGTTTCCTTGTACTAAGCAGATAACTGATATAGAGGGAAGCTGTACTGGAAAAGGAGGCTGAGCAGTCACTTAAACTATTTTGAGTCAGCTATCTGCCTATATTTTAGATAAAACATAATATTTATGATGTAATGTGTTGCAGTGATGTTCAGCAAAATGTTTTATGGCAGTTTGATCATAATTTTATCTACTTTTATTCTGCATTTTTACAGTATTCTACTGGCATATTTTATCTTTCCTTCTGAATACGTCAAAATAATTGCTAATTATTGATAAATGCTTAGAATATAAAGTTTTGCCTACTTTGTTTACATTGTATCTGCATTATAATGAATGTGATGCTTAGAAATTGTATTGTTAATAAAATTTCAGTTAATTTAGAATTGTTTAGTTATATTTGACTTGTGAGAGAACTGATTTGAATTGTTTGGTAGAAACACAGTTTTGTGAGGCTTTTTGTAGAATCTATATTAACTAACCAATAAATAAGGATAATGTGCTTTTGAAAAGTAATTCAGTTCATTTCGATTTTTGTTGTTGTTGTTACTGAGTTGTAGTCTCACTCTGTCACCCAGACTAGAGTATAATGGCATGATCATGGCTCAACCTCTTGGGTTCAGGCAATCCTTCTGGCTTAGCCTCTTGAGTAGCTGGGGCTGCAGGCACATGCCACCACATCCAGCTAGTTTTTATTTTTTTATTTTTTGATAGAGGAGCTCAGGTCCTGCTATGTTGCCCAGGCTGGTCTTGAACTCCCAGGCTCAAGCGATCCTCCTGCCTTGGCCTCCCAAAGTGTTGAGATTACAGGTGTGAGCCACCACATCTGGCCTCATTTCAGTATTTTTGAGCAAAATATGCAAAATCATCCAAGAAGAAGTTCAAAGACCTTTCATAATAAAAAAGTTTAATAAGAAATTTCTTCATGAGGCCAGTGAGTTTTCACATGACTTTTTTCTCATAACTGTAGTATATAAAAAAAATGTATTTTAAAGGATCCTCTTGGTTTTAACTTATTTTGTTCATTAAATAGGTAAGTTTTCCCTGTAAATGTCCAACTGTTTGCACTACAGTTTTTGTTTTTATATTTATAAAATGCAATTTCAATTTTAAGAGTTTCTTATTTAACTTGTATTTTTCAGGATGGAGGTTTGCTTCTGAATAACCCTTCAGCATTAGCAATGCATGAGTGTAAATGTCTTTGGCCAGATGTTCCATTAGAGTGCATAGTATCCTTGGGCACTGGACGTTATGAGAGTGACGTGAGAAATACTGTGACACACACAAGCTTGAAAACCAAACTTTCTAATGTTATCAACAGTGCTACAGACACAGAAGGTTAGTATTTTTTTGCTACTCTAAAACAGCTTCTAACATTCTAATAGTTTTTGGCGGGCTATGCTAATCCTACCTGCAAAGAAGTATGATTATTTGGTATTGTGGGCTTATTACAGGAGTGAGTACTTTGTTGTTGTTTTTTCTCACTTATTTCTTGTTACGTGACCCTAAAACAGAGACTGTTCTCCAACTGGGAACTAGTGCTACTTTTGCCTACTCACAGTTGGAGAAGGGTCTTAAAGCAGGGATAGCACAAAATCTTGACTGGAGATTCTTAAGCCAGTTAAGAAATGGAAAAGCAACAAAAGGAGTCAGATTAGTTCAAATATACACATGATAATAGAATTCGGATAAGGCATTCTATTATGGAGTAATGTGGAGGCAAACTGGAATCAGAAAATGTTCTGCTTCTGCTTTTGCTATCCCTATAGCCTGGTCTTCATGCAAAAGCCAAAGAGATCCTTTAAAAATGTAAATTAAATTGTTTTTCCCCCTCTCAAAATTCACTAGACTTGCCGGGCTTGGTGGCTTAGCCTGTAATCCCACGCCTTTGGGAGGCTGAGGTGAGTGG